AGAGTATGATAGTTTTTAAAACTATGATTGTTGGTGAAGACAATGTGAAAATTCTTGGAGTGATGTAGCTTCAAATGATTATACTCTTATGATGGAGTATGATTGTCAGTGAAGACAATGAAAGGTTAATGCATTATTTTCAATCAAGGTGGAAATTGTTGGAGTTGGTTGAAAATATACATGTTGAAGAAGTCACACATCGCTTATTTTTGTAAAGGAAGAGGGAGTCCAAGACTATATATAAAATTAAAGTTTTTTCAAGTTCCACATCACTTAGTTTAATGAATGAAGAGGGAGTCCAAGACTATATATAAGATTCAAGTTTTTCTTTATAAGATATAGCAGTAAAAAACACTTTAAGCTTGCATTTGACTTTTTTATTTTCTCTTATACTATTGTTTTAGAGTATTGTGAGGGCTAGTTAAATATATGCTTTGAAGAGTGTGAATGTATTAGGATCTTGGGGTGTTTGAGGGTTGTCTATGTCTCGTAACAATTTTTACATAGTGATATTTTTTGGTTGTCTATTGACAATGACTATGATTTTTTATTCGATTTTGAAATTTCCACATTATGTTCTTATGTTGTTATTGTGTTCCTCTTTTTTTCTTCTTCTATATGATTTATTTTTCCTAACAATATCAACCTATATTTTAAAATTTTAAATAACAAAAATGATTAAACTTATAATATTAATAATATTTTAAAGTAAAGTTACCACTATACAGCTAAAACAAATATAATTGGAAAATAAACTATTGACACTAATGAAGAAATTAGAGTCGAAACCTTACATAAATTATATATATATATATATATATATATATATATATAATATATATATATATATATTATATATATATATATATATATATATATATATATATATATATATTTATATATATATATATATATATATATATATATATATATATTATATATAAGTGTCATAAAATATTACTAATGATAACGATATTTTGGCAGTCCGGCAGTGAGGAAACCTCAGTTAAGTCTACACATGTATATTTTCCTCCTCTTCCCACCCGTACACAAGAACATCTATTGGCCTAAGTGTCAATCTCCTCTCTTATGGGTCAGTCAAGAAATTCACAGGTGCCTCTTTCTTTATAGATACTTCAACGTGCCTAAATATATCAAATAAGATATCTCTAACAAATTCATGCTGGTATTTGAATCATAGAATCTCCTTACAATGAATGGTGTATTATCATAACTATTTTTTCACTCATGTTTATTATTAAAGTGCCAAAATAAATTGGGCCCATCCGTTTAACCCTGCCTTTTTGTCAGGTTTCCAACCTCGCCTTTTTTGTTGAGTTTTGATGAGCATAACCTAAATGGTGTAAGCCATATTTTTTGTCACATTTATGGGTGAAAAAACCCGTCCCATGATGTTTTTTGGTGGGCCACGCCAAAATTTACACACAAATTTTAACAAAGTGAGTCTAAACGGGGATGACATTGCCACTTGACACTCCTGCTAACGAAGAAATAGGCCAGGTCAGGTTAGCCCTTAGAAAGTCGGAGCCTAGCTTACGATAAATTTTTAAGGGCCGACATTGACTTATGGTCTATTATAGGCTTTATCTCACCAAATTCTCTTATTTGGACCAATTTTGTCATTAAGATTCCATCCCTTATATTTATTAATCCATTACTTCTTCATTTTTTGAGTTCCTTTAAACCTATAAAATAAAAAACACATAGTAAAAAATATTTAAAACTTAAAAAATTATGGGTTACCTGTCACATTGTTGTTGCAGTAAAGAAGCAAGCTAAACTAAGTATTTTCAATTTTTATTTTATTGTCTCCACAAGGATTAGTGTGAGGAAAAAAATGCCGTTCAACAGTCTTCACGATTTTGAGCTTGGTTTTAAATGTATAAATTGGTGCCAAAAGTAAAATATATGAACAAAAAGTAAATACATTCTTGAGAAATGAGAGAACTTGTCGGGTTTGAATTTCATCTACCCGTCAAATACTTAAACCCACTTGATCAATTGTAGCAACCTAAATCACTCGTTAATATCATCACATATCCCTTACAACCTAGGTTATGTCTAACACATAGTTGAGAGAACAATCTTATTGTTTCATCGATGATGTCTCGTGCAACTCAACAACACAGAAGCATTAAGAACAAATACCCACTGTGAATGTTAGACCTAAATCTATCTCTAGAGTTTAGAACCTAACTGATGATCATCTAAGAACAGGATTTGAATCGTATATGTCTATAGCGACTTAAATCCTCAACACAAAGCAAAAATAAGGATAAACATCGATATTGATTTGAGAAATAGATATAATACAATACCATAATTAGTACATATACATAAAATCAGAGTAACTTACATACAAACCCCACAAATGGAAACTACAAAGGGAAGAAGGAGAAGAATCAAAATCTCTCGCGGTGTCAATCACAATCAAAGAATCTTCAACCCTAGATCATCGAATTTCAACCTCCATTGGTGTTAATCAAAGCTCTCAAGACTCAAACAATAAAAGTGATTTAGTTGGGGAAAAAAACCCCAAAACCATACCTAAAAATCTAAACTAAAGTTATTTATACAAAATTGAAAAGCGCAGACCACACTTAGCCCAAAAAGTGACGCTAAGTGCACTCCCACTTAAAAACACTTAAACCGACTTAAACTGGCGCTAAGCACACTCAGAGCGTAGTCACCTTTGCCTGGACTTCTTCCTAGCGCGCTAGGTTGCACTTAGCCCGACCTGGACAATTATTTCCTTTTAAGATTGTATCTTGAAGCTTTGCCTTTGGCTCTTATTACTCTATGCTCCAACCATGTAATAAATACCCACAAAAGAGATGAAAAAACTATCAACAATACAATAATTTACACAAAACAGGATTATACTATTATTTACACAAAATTCGGGGTTTTACTATAAAAACCAAAAGAGCAAAGCTAATAAGTGCCACAAAATACTACTAATGATAACAACATTTTGACACTTATCACACATAAAACTTCTTTTTGGTCACAAGCTTTACTATAATCACTTTCTTTTCTCAAGAAGACGCATTCAAAATAAAGCACACCCCTTTTTGACTTCGTCTCCTGTTATATAATGTTTAAGCATTTGTCCATTTAACGTAAATGATCTAGTGGACTCACTCTAAACCTCAACCATACCAAATGATGTTACTTTTCTTACATGGAATGGTACAGACTATCAAGAGCAAAACTTTTTTTTGGGAAGAGCTTTAACCTAAAATTAAATAAAAATACAAGTTTCCCCTCTCTGAAATCTCTTCTCAAGATGTGTTTATCATTCCATATTTTAGTTCCTCCTTATACAACTTAATATTTTCATAAGCATCCAGTCTCAATTTTTCTAATTCATTGAGTTACCATCTCCTCGTCTCTCCGACAACTCCAGAATCAAGGTTAAAGACCTTTGTTGTCCAAAAAACTTTATGCTCAATTTCAACTGGGAGATGACACGATTTTTCATACATTTATTTAAACGAGTCATTCCAATAGGTGTCTTATACGTTATTCGGTAGGCCCAGAGCACACCATCTACTAATGTGTGTGTGTGTCTCTCTCTCTCTCTCTCTCTCTCTCTCTCTCTCTCTCTATATATATATATATATATATATATATATATATATATATATATATATATATATATATATATATATTATATATATTATATATATATATATATATATATATATATATAATTATATATATATATATATATATATATATATATAAATTATTTTACGTGAACGTTAATTTAAATTTCCGACAACTCATTTATTCATTTTTATATAATAAAATTTTGATAATTAAGCTACAAAACAAATTATAAGTATAGTCTCAATTCTACACAAATAAATAAGTTGAAAAAGTGTTTGTTCCCTTTAAAAGCATATTAATATTGTTTTTTAAAAGCCAAAGAGAAATTTATTGATTTTCGTGGTTGCCCATGGTGGACTCAATTATATTTACATTAGTTTTATCTTAGTCATGTCCATTAATTTTTAGAACTATATAAAATTTTATTCTTTATAGCCTTTTCGGCTAGATTATGGGCCCTATAGTTTTTTTTCTTTCTATTGACAAAATGGATCGAACCACTGTTAAGGCCCATTAGGATTTTGTTAATGTTGGATACTATCCAACCAATATGCGTTATATCTTTCGGGGCGCCGTTTTTGTCTATCTCAGACGCCTCATAAACCCTAGTTTTCCTTTGCTTGTTCTTCGTTCTGATACTATCTACTTCGCTCGTCGTCTTAGTGGGCTTCTGTTTTTATTTTGAGCTCAGGTACTATCCTCTTTCCTTCTCGTCTCAAAATCATTAGGTTATGCTTTGTACTTAAAAATTCATCACATACTTTACGATCGTAAGAATCTTCACGTTTCTGTCATTCACTTTAATCTTATAAAATAATATATATATTTTTTTCAATTTTATAATAACAACATTTATAATTCAAATATCCACAATAGTTAATAAAAAAATTTTCTTCCAAAAACTTGATATCTGATCTTAAATTCGACTGATCTGATATGAATTTCAACGATCTATTAATCTATTAATGAGGTTTCTGTTGAAGTTAGACATCCAATTTAACTAAAATCATTTTAATTACAACAAATATAACAATGTTTAGAAAAGAAAAAAAATCTTAAAAAAAAAAGAGTAAAAAATGATTCTAATAAAAAAGTTTAATAAATAAAACTTATGAAAAACTTAAATAAAAGATACATCATGTCATGAAATGAATTATTTTGATTCGACTAGTAATAACTCGTGAAGTGAAAACCCTTGAAAGTATCACACTTTTGGAATTTTATGTTCTCTATCTATAGCAACACAATCGCTTTCTTGATTTAGGGTTTTGTCTCTGATTTTCTATCTATTTTCATTTCCATTTTCACTGTTTACTGTTAAAGTTTTCACCTTTCATCCATTTTTGTATCAGATTCTGTTTCGAATGGGAGGAAGAGAAGAAGGATGCAGATCTTGGGAGGAAGACGTTTACTGGACCCCATTTCCAATTCATCCATTTCACCCAATTTCTCCGCAATGATTTTGATCAGCAACTTGTTAGTATTCCTTTCATTTCTTGTCCATGTTTTTTTTTTTTCTCACATTATTAAAATATTTTTTTAACCTTATTTTCACATTATTTTAACCTACCCTTGTAATTTTTTTTACAAATTCTTTAACTGCAGTCAATTTTTTTGATGAAAGTTTTGATCTTTGGATAAGGTTGTTAGTGCAATGTTTTTTAACCTTTGATTGTTATAGTTTATAGATGTGACTGTTTTGTAAATAATTGGTTAGGATTTGTGAGTTGGGCGTTGATCTGCTTTGTGTTTGTTTTTGGCTTACATTGCTTTGGATGAAGCATGCATTTGCATTTTAGGTTTTGGTCATGCATGCATCTTGGAAGAGTCATGCTTATGATTTGTGAGGGTTTGAAAGAAAAGATAAGTGAATGAATGAGTAAGGAGATTCATAGATTGTAATGTGGTTGATCTTGGGTTGTTACTATTGCCATTTAAATCGTATACTTGAGATTATTAATGGTTGTTTTTCAATGTGGTAGTTATCATCTTTGTAGCACCGAGATTTCTAATTGAAGGTCTGTTTGGTGTCTGGCACGCATGAGAGTCTTGGGTGGGTGTCTAACGATTGCATGACACTAACACTTTTGATTACTGATATTTTTGATGGGTGGGTGTCTAACGATTGCATGACACTAACACTTTTGATTACTGATATTTTTGAAAGGTGTGATTGGTGTCTGACACATATGGGAGTCTTGGGTGGGTGTCCGATACTTGCATGACTCTAACACATTTGATTACTGATATTTTTGAAAGGTGTTTGACACGTATGAAGTCTTGGGTGGGTGTCTGACACATGCATGACACCAACACATTTGATTACTGATATTTTTGAATGGTGTGTTCGGTGTTTGACACATATGGGAGTTTTGGGTGGGTGTCTGACACTGACACATTTGATTACTGATATTTTTGAATGGTGTGTTTGGTGTTTGACACATATGGGAGTCTTGGGCGGGTGTCTGACACTTGCATGACACCCACACATTTGATTACTGATATTTTTGAAAGGTGTTCGGTGTTTGACACATATGGGAGTCTTGGGCGGGTGTCTGACACTTGCATGACTCAACACATTTGAGTACTGTTATTTTTGAAAGGCGTGGTGTCTGACACATATGGAAGTCTTGGGCGGGGTGTATAGCACTTGCATGACACCAACACATTTGATTACTGTTATTTTTGAAAGGCGTGTTTGGTGTCTGACACATATGGGAGTCTTGGGTGGGTTTCTGACACTTGCATGACACCAACACATTTGATTACTTTTATTTTTGAAAATTATTACTAGTGTGGACACGTCGATGTTAGTACCGTGTCCGGTGTATATAGGCTGTGACTGACTTTTAGGCATATAGTCTAGCAACATGTCTCTGTTCAGCTAAAGCTCATTGGATTATATTCTGAAATAGGAATTTATTTTTTGTTTTCAGGCACTTCCCAAAACATTTTCAGACAACATAAAGAAGAAGTTGCCAGAAAGTGTGACCCTAAAAGGTCCTGGTGGAGTGCTGTGGAATATAGAGCTGACAACTAGAGATGGTACTTTGTACTTCACGAATGGTTGGCAACAATTCGTGAAAGAACACTCTTTGAAAGAAAATGATCTCCTTGTCTTTAAGTACAATGGTGAATCGTTGTTTGAGGTTCTAATCTTTGATGGCGAGAGTTTATGTGAGAAGGCATCTTGTTATTTTGTTCGAAAATGTCGGCATGCCGCTACTACTGAACATGGGGGTGGATGTTCTAGCAAGAAAAAGGACTCAGATAATTCTGTTGAAGAAGTCAATACTCCTTCTAATGATGTTGATGAAGGTGTTTCACCCGAGAAATCTTTGCATCTTAACAAAATCCGAGTGCCATTTGCCGTACCTATCGAAACTACTAACGGAAAGACTTCGAATGCTGGTCTTGAATCTGCCTCTGCCGAGCAATTCATGTCTGATGCAGTCGCTGATACTGAGGCAATAACTGTTCCCTCCCAAACAACTGGTAAACGAATGAGGAAGCCTGTTTATGCCGATATGTCTGTCCCGAGTAAGAGGAGAGGAAGACCACCAAAATCAGCTAATTCTCATGAGAGAGCTCTTGATTGGGTGTCTGGTAACATTCTTACTTTTATCAATTAGGGAAAGAAACACAACACTTGTGGTAAAGGTGGTTCACTGATCACATAGTTTTAACCATTGCACAAGAAATTATTTATACTATCCAATGAATGCAATAGTAAAAACTATCGGCATATGCACACTACTGAAAACCACCATGTCACCAAGAAACGTATCTCACTATTGTTCTATGGATATTTCTTTATCTTCAAAACACTTGAATGAGTGGAATTTCTTGCTGAAAATTTTTGATTTTGAAAACCCTCATTTTTCTTGGATAACAGTTGGACATTATAGTTTAGTTACTGTGTGCTTGTTTGAGTCCAACGTTGTGGAATCACATTATTTTATTCTTTGTAGCACTGACATTTCTGATTGAAGGTGTGTCTAATGTTCGACATGTGTTGGTATCAGACACCAACAACCAACATGACTGAAACATATTATTACATTTAATTAACTCATTTTTCTCAAACTATTACCAGTGTCGATGTATCACTTTTGTTTTTGGTGTCTTTTTGTGTCAGTTTTTCTTGGTTTTTCTGAGTATTTCTCTTTTAATAATCAATACATGTACTGGTTGTTGACGTGGTAACTTATTTTGATCATTTTTATAAGATGCTGAACTTTCTCCCAAGGCTTCTCCAAAGGTTAGATCAGTGACACAGGAACTATATACTTCAAATAGAAGGCCTGTCACACAAAATGAGATTGAAAACACTCTTCGGTTGGCCCAGGCAACATGTACCGAAGACACCTTGCTTGTAACTATGCGACCTTCGCATGTATACAAGAGATTCTTCGTGGTAAATTACTTCCGTCCTTTCTTTCCTTTTTAAACTCGGTTGTGAATTTTTGTAACTTCCTGCATTTTAAACACGGTTGTGATTCTTCGTGATACTAATTGTATTTATTTTTTATTTTTCGTGCCTAGTCATTCCCTAATAAGTGGATACTAAACCATCTTACTCCGTCATCGCAAGATGTGATATTACGCATGGGTAAGGAGGGTGAATGGGTTGGGAAATACTGCTATCATAATATTCGTAACAATGGAGGACTTTCCGGTGGGTGGAAACATTTTGCGCTTGAGAATAATCTTGAAGAGTTTGATGTGTGTTTGTTTAAGCCTGCTGGTTATATGCAAAACATGTTGATCATAGAAATGACCATTTTTAGAGTTGTTGAGGAGATTACTCCTCTTACTGCGGTGCATTCTCCGGGAAAGAAGAGATCAATTAAGAAAACACCATCCGGAGAACCACAGCTAAAGAGGAGGGGAGTTATGATAGCCCCAATCAGGGCTGTTCAAACAGAACTTGACTCCCTTGAAGGTGCGTAATTGTGTCGGCCGAGGAAAGTTTCATCGTTAGAATTATGCAATAGTATATTTTAACAGTTGTGTTAGGGCTGCAGCCTAAGCTATGTAATATCAAATGTGTTTGTATTTTGGATCTTATGTTGGATTGTTTAACTTATTTAGTCTTCTGCTTCTACCTATGTAATTCAGGTATGTCAAATTTCTATTGCAACAGCTAGACTTCTTAAGGCTCAAGTTTGAGTTGATCTATCCATCTACCTTCATGGATTGATCTATTGTTCTAGGTTTTGCTAATGTATTATTCTCTTTTCTTGAGCATTTGTTTATCTTGATTCTTTATTTTTTAATATCAAATACAATCAAATGGAACTTATATCAATGTAAACTAGTAATATTCAAAACATGCATAACAGTTATATGAAAATAATATGCAGAATCACAGTAGTACTTAAACTGTATTGCAGTATTCCACTGTTGAATCAAGGTGGAACTGACGAGACTTTGAGTTTAAAGTTCAATTGATTCAACCAATTTAATCTATGATCCAACCAAATAATAGATAAATAAATTATTAATTACAAAGAATTACAATGTTTCTAACTAGCTTTTGATTTATGAAATTGTTATTGTAAAAAGAATTACAATGTTGGCAAATGACTAACATTTGCTTGGACTCCTTTGGCAAATGACTAACATTTGCTTGGACTCCTTTTGTTGTTTAAGATTATGTTCTAGTAGGGTAGCTGCATATACTTTCATGGGTGTTCCTTTCGTTGTTTAGCTCTACTTGATAATGAAGAATAGAAGATTATATGAAACAGGGGAGACTGATGCAGACATGAATTTCTTTATTGGTAGTTTGAGTTGGATTTTTACACACAAACTCAAGGGGAGGCAACAACCATGAGTTTGTGCTTTTAGAGCTAGAACCATAGTGGAGACAAGAGGCTTGGTAAAAGCATCAACCCACTGATCAATTCCAGGAATGTGTAGAATCTGAAATTGTTTGGCCAATACTTTTTCCTTGACAAAGAATAGATCTATCTCCATGTGCTTAGTTATTGAGTGCATAATGGGATTACGAGTTAACATAACTGCAAATTGATTATCACATGAGACCATAGTAATTTTGGATGAAGTGAATAATTCCTTGAGTAGAGTCTGAATCCAAAGGAGGTGTGCACTAGCTTGAGCAAGACTTGTATTATGCTTGTTGCTTCTTGGACCATAAGAAAATAAGTTTTCTTCCAAAAATAGATTGTTGTGCAAGAAATACTCCTTCTGTCATCAGGGTCTGATGCCCAATTAGAATCATAAAAAACTTGAATGGTTGAAAGAGAAGTGGTTGAGAGAGGAGTAAGATGGAGATCACACCCGAGTGTGTCATTAAGATATCTTAATGTTCTCTTGACTACAACCCAGTGAGACTAAGGAGATGGAACATAAATTGACACACTTTGTTCACAAAGTAAGCAATGTAGGTTTATTTATGGTGGCATACAGCATAACACTCACTTCATACTTTTTTTTAATCGAAAGGGGGTGGACTTTAGTCCAATAAAAATAAATAAAAATAGGTACAAAAATGAGGGGGACATAAAGCCAAATCCTCAAACCTATCTAATTATAAAATTAGAGATGTCAAATTTGTTTCTATTGAAGTCAATAACTAAATCGGTGTGGATATCAGACCACCATGTAAAATTAGCAATTGATAAACCTAAATTAGCTAATTTATTTGTACAATGATTACCTTCTCTATAGATATGAGTTGCCAAAAAATTAAAATCTCTAATTATGATCAAACAGTTATCCCACCTGTTCCGAAGCTTCCAAGGAACCATAAAAGAAGAAGAAAAAGCTCGAGCGAGAAGCGAGGAATCCGTTTCCAACCACAAATTGGTCTAATCACGACAAAAAGCTTGCTCCAATGCTAAAATGGCGCCCATTATCTCAACAAACAGAGCATTGTTCGGAGGCAAATTACAAGCGAAACTACCAACGTGATCCCCAAGGTGATTCTTAAAAATACCACCACATGCCGTTTTGATTGGATTACTGTCGGAAGCCCCATCTGTATTAACTTTGATCCAGCCCGCTTGAGGAGGGCTCCATAAAATCTCTTTCAGAATCTTGGGTTTAAGGGGGGTGGATTTGAACATCAAAATTTTTAAGAATAACAAACTCCCTAATAGAAGAATTGGCTGAATTATTACACCTGTTACCTGCCAAAGAAGTTGCAGAAAGAATAGAGTTACAAGAAGACTTCCAGGGGATGGCAAAACTATGAACCCGAGCCTGATTCCGTGCATTGTCAAATCTCCTTCACCGAGTTAATAACCGCCGCTGTCAACACTATATTGCACTGAGCAGAGACATTACGTCTCAAGACCAATTTGCAGTCCTCTAAACAAGTAATATCATGACCAAGATTAAGAATTAGAGCCAACCATACCCAAACAGATCTAGCATAGATGCAGGAGAAAAAAGATATTCCAAAGTCTCTTCCATTTTAAAACAAATGGAACATACAGAAGTGCAACAAAAACCCTGCAGGACCAACTTATCGTTGGTAGGGAGCTTTTCATGAGTAAGGCGCCAAAACAACAAAGAATTAGACGGAGGAATCGAGACGCTCCAAACCAGCCTGCCCCAATCCGAGTTCTGAGAGGGACCTTTCATGAAAGAGAAAGCATCTTTTGCGGTCAATTGGCCACTATCATTTGAAATCCACATGAGATTGTCTGTTTGAAGCGCATCGGGACAAACCTCAGCGGCAAGCTGGTTCAGATCCGAATGCAGACTGGCAAGTAAGTCTGGAAGAACAACACGATTATTATGGATTATGCTGCTCAACTTAGTCTTTAGATTGTGTTGCTGGTCATCTGGAATATGCAGAAGCGAAACTAGCGTTTGGCCATACCAATTGTCCTTCTAGAGATTAATGCGATCCCCACTACCGATTTTCCAAACTGAATTGTCCAAAAGATAGTTCACACAGGCCTTGGTACCAGTCCAAATAGAAGACGAAACATGATACCGAACCTGCCTCACTAAGAACCTGATTCTGTTAGCTAGAAGGTTGTGTCTAAAAGAAGAAATAGAACCAGCATATAAAATAGACTTAGATGGGCTGCAAATTTGGCCAGAGCAAGCAACGTACCTCATAAAAAGATCAGCAAGAGCATCTAGAGTGCTTATGCAGCCTTTAACGAATAACATGATGTCGTCAGCATACATAGCATGGGAAGGAACCATCATACCTCTGCAAGCATGAATTAATTTAATTTTCTTCTGAGAAACCAAGAGAGATAAACCTCTGCTAAGCATATCTCCAGCAATGCAAAATAATAACTAGGACAATGGATCCCCCTGTTTGACGCCTCTTTAACAACTAAAGAAACAATGAAGCTCACCATTAATGGATATGGAGATCTTTGCAGACTCAAGAATTTACTTAATCCAAAAACAAAAGTTTCGTTGAACCCAAAAGCCTTAAGCACCTAAAGAAGAAAAATCCAATCTAGAGTATCAAAAGCCTTAACTATATCCACCTTCATTATAAGATTGCCACCCAGATATTTCTTATGCACTATATTTGCCTCCTCAGATATAAGACAAATGCAGTCTTTTATACTTCTCCCTTGAATAACCCCTTTTGCTCCTTAGATATGACGTGAGGAAGCAAACTAGCTAATCTGTCATCCAGAAATTTTGAAATAATTTTAAACTTGGAATTTGCAAGAGCAATAGGTCGGTACTGCTCAATCTTCTCCGCTTCCTTTACTTTGGGAATTAAGACAACCGTGTTAGCATTATAGTTTGAAGTCATTCAACCATCAATGAAAAACTGTAGAGTTTCCCGAATGACGTATGGAGAAGTGAAAAACACAAGAAGGGGGGTTGAATTGAAGCTTTAAAATCAAATGCAAATGACACGATGATTTTTATCCTGGTTCGCTTGATCTCAAACTACTCCAGTCCACCCGCCAAGTTGATTTCGCCTCTCTCCAACGAGGTCTTAATTCACTAATAAAACTGATTACAATTCTACTTTGACAACTGCCAAAGTCTTCTTAAGTACAACCACAACCCGGTTTATCTCAAGGAAAATCACTTACAAAAATAAGAATTAATCTGTGTACAGGATGTTTTTCGTTACAAAAACGGTATCACAAACTTGTGATGTATTACACAATTTTAGAGAATAGTATGAATATGATTTGCAGCGTTGAGAGATTGTATGATAACAGTGATTAAAATCGTTGAACAATTTAACCTTGATGCTTGTTTAAATAGGCGCAACAATCTGTCCAAATGGAAACATGATAATTGGCAGTTAATGCACTCTCCATAATATAAAGACCTTTGTCTGTTTGTGGCCTTTGAAATTGATACCCGCTTTGATGAAATAGTAACGCTTCAGAATATAAGGAATCTGCTTGCTGCTTTGCTTCAGAACTTGGGAAGTCAGAATCATAAGGTTCTGTTAGCAACGTTAGACTTCCATTCAGAGTTAAGATGTCTTTCTCTTTAGCGCAAATTCTGATCTTCATTCATCAGAACATTCTGATATCAATCTGCGTACAGAACATGAATACCTTTGTAGCTTAACTTCTGATCCACTTCCGTCAGAACTTCTGTACAAAATAGAACACAATTTTAGAGTGCATATTTGTTCTTTGTGTTTGTTATTATCAAAACTCTTACGAGGGTTGTAGAATCAAACTATGTTCTAACAATCTCTCCCTTTTTGATGATGACAAAAACTAGGATTTTTCAATAAAAATAGACAGAACAAAAAGCTTTACAGAGTCTCCCCCTGAGTTGAGTACTCAGATAGAGATGAATTGCATCCCTGGAGTTTATTCTGATAAGAGCTTTTGATGCATCTCCTTCTGTCTTTATCAGAGTTTGTTCCTGTTATGCTTTCAGAAAAAAATAAGAAGTTAAGATATTCAGAATGTTTGAGACCTTGTCCCGTTATACTGTTATTGAAAATATCTTACGTTCTTCCCTTTTTGTCAAGAATCAAAAAGCAATATAATCACAAATAATCAGAGTAAAAAAGGACGATTTGTATTAAAACAAATTTCAAGAACATTTACAGAGCCGATAAGACAAGATAATGAATGTAGAAAACAAGTTAAAAAAATCTAAGATAGAGGGGGAAGACGTGTGAACAACGCTTCCAGCAAGCTCTTAATCTGAGTGCTTG